AGGCCCGGAGTTAAGAAGCCTGAGTGCTCGGCAGGGGCCAGACACACAATAGGCGTTGGAGGGTAAGACCCGCCGTGCATCACTCCCGGAGCCCTGGAGGCCAAAACGAATCTGGCCTCCGCGAGGTCTCGGGAAAAGGGAACAGAATCTGCATGCCTGGAAAGCCTCTAGGTCGCCAGCCAGGGTCAGGGACGTCCTGCCGCCCCACCCCCACCTCACCACGTGACCTCAAAGGGCCGCCCAGGGTTTGGAATGCGGCGACCTAAGCAGTGCCCCCAGAGGGGCTGGCGGAGCGGCAGAGGGAAGGAGGGAGGGCCGGAGGGAGAGGCCGCACCCAGGGCTGGGACGACTGGAGGGTGGGGGTGGGGCGCAGGAGGGGCCCCTTCTTTCCTTTCCCCACCAGGCCAGCGCGAGGAGCGAGGGAAGGAGGAGGTTTGGCTTCGTCCAGGGAACCTGTAAATACAGGCCGAGTAACTCGATCTGCTCCTGTCGCTTCCCTATTTAGGAGAAGGGCCGCCGGAGCCAGGAATTAGTGGCTGCTGGGGGCGCAGGTCACGTGGCCGCCCAGGACTCGGTGGGGGGAGGGAGAGGCTGAGCTCCCGAGGAACCACGATCGAGGGAGGCGGGAATCCCGGCCAGGCCTGTCGGCTCCCGCCCCAAGTAGTTCCATTTGCCCTTATCTTACAGTCTCGCACACGACCATGGGGAGTGGGGGGTTGAGGGTCTGGCCTGCGGCGGGTATGTCCACCCATGCGCCCTTTCTGAAGGCCTGGGCGAGGTGTGTCTGTCGGTTCCACCAAGCCTCAGTCGGCTTTTGTCTTTTTTGGAAAGCCCAGGTTAGATACGACATGACTCCCGAGTCCGAGGCTCCACTGCCTGTGGGGGCCGGTCAGGCTCCAGGCTCAGCTCCGGGTCTGGGACTCCCCGGTCCTGGCTGGTGGAGAAAGTGCCTAGGAGGCTGGCATCCTGCCTCCCAGCCTCCCTGATCAGTGGCCCAGGAGATAAGCAGCGCCCAGGGAAGAAGGTGCCCACTGGGACTGGCTTCCAGCAGAGCCTACTGTGTGCCAGGCTCCGTGAGGGGCAGTGGGGGTGTGAAGAAAAAATGAAGTGCCCGCCCTCAAGGAGCTTAAACTGGAGGGGAGACAGTCAAGTTAACCAGAATGAAAACACAGGAGCACAGAGATGCATCCAAGTCAGACCGGGACCTGGGAGGATTTGAGGACGAGGTGGCACTTGAATTGTTTTTTAAAGGATGAAGAGTCACCACAGGGAGAAAGGGAAAGGGCATCCAGGCAGAGAGAACTGCCTGTGCAAAGGTATGGAGGCACAGGTGTCAAGAAATCACAGGTGCTGGGCTGGCCCTGTGGCTTAGCGGTTAAGTGCTTGCACTTCGATACCGGTGGCCTGGGTTCGGACCCCGGGCGCGCACCGATGCACCACTTCTCCAGCCATGCTGAGGCCACGTCCCACATACAGCAACTAGAAGGATGTGCAACTATGACACACAACTACCTACTGGGGCTTTGGGGAGGAAAAAGGAGGATTGGCAATAGATGTTAGCTCAGAGCCGGTCTTCCTCAGCAAAAAGAGGACTGGCACGGATGTTAGCTCAGGGCTGATCTTCCTCACAAAAAAAAGAAAGAAAGAAATCACAGGTGCTTAGTTCCTCTGGACAGAAGCGTGGGTGAGTGTGGGGAAGGGGTAGGAGATGGGGCCAGTCAGCCCACAGGAACCGGAGCCGGGCATCTGAGCTCCTCCTGAAGGTCTTGGGGAACTGCTGAATCATTCCATATCGACAGGATGAGATTTGCATCTTCGAGGAGAGCTGGGGATGGATTTGGTTTGGGACCTAGAGAAGGAAAGAGGTTTTGGGAAGGAGCCTGTTGCCAGCCTCCCCTGAGATAGCAGCAGTGGGACTGGAAAGCATGAAAAGGCCGGAGAAAGACTTGTGAGGGGAAGAGCTACAGGTCTTCAGGGTGCAGTGGGGGTGGGTATGAGTGGGCAGGGTGAGTCTTGGGTGACCTCACGTTTCTGGCTTGCGGAAATGGGCAGATGATGGATGCAGAAGGAACAGATTTGGAGGAAAGGCTGATGGTGATGACAGTAATATTTATTATGCACTTCCAGTGTGTCAGGCACTACACACTTCACCTATCTCATTTAATCCTCACGATACCCTATAAAGTAGGTACTCCTGTTATCCCCATTTTAATAAGAAAACTAAATCAAGAGGTTAAGTAACTAAGTGGCAGGGCTGGGATAACGAGCACGCCTGCACCTTGCAGAACGCGGCATCCCACATCTGAAGCCCAGCGAGGTTTCCCAGGCGTCCTAGAGCCGCTATTCCACTACCTCCCGCTCCTCCTCCCTGTCCAGCCCCCAGCATCTGGCACCCCCACAGCTGTTCAGTCACTGTCACTGCCTCCTTCAACCCACCGCGCCTCACCCCCAGGACTTTGCCCTGAGCAGCCAGGACAGGACACACGAGCCATGTGACAGGACAACACAGGGCTCCAGAACCCTGGTGCCGAGACCCCACCTTCCCAGTGACCATACAGAACGGAACTGAGATGTTGCAGGAACAATCAGAGAAACCAAGATAATGGATGTGTTCTGTTTGTCATAAAAATAAAAAATGTTTTTAAATGGAACAGTTCGGTGACATCAGAGGGTCATGAAAGTTCTCCTTGGCCCAACCCTGTGTTTATTTTCTGTGGGGAAAGGGGCAGGGTTCTGGAGCAAGTGTGCACCTCCCACGGAGGAAGCTCCTCCAGCTCTGTTTCCCTTCCCCAAACCTCGGCTCAGGCATACGCCGTCCAATTCTAGTAGTCATGGGAGACAGACGACAGCCACTCCTTTGAGCCCCACTCTCACTCCCCCACTGCTTGCACTTGCCTCTCACTGACTTTCCACCTTCCGGGTGAAGTAAAGGGATGGAGCAGGTAGCTGACCTGAACGAGTGCCTCAGCTTTCTCTTGGGAGAGTTGTTGGGCCTAGAGAGCCCTGGCTTCAGCTGTCACCCTTGAACCTAATTAATGGGCCTACCCAAAGTCACACAGCCAGCAACTGGCCCAGGGCCTGGAGGCAGGAGGTTATTTACGAGGCTGTTTTATGCAGAAGTTAGAATGTCCACTTGCCTCCCCTACCCCCTTAACTGCAGAAAAGAGGCCCACCATGACCCCAGAGAGCTTTCTGGGTGGAGACGTGTAATCTAGGGACAGAGCTGTGAGAAGCCCTTGGCATGCAGTCTGGGCCCTGCCTATCTGTTTCGGGGGTTCCAGTTCCAGTAAAGCTACCACTGCCTTTGTAGTCTCTGGAGGCACAGAGGTCCTCACCAGGCCTCTCGGAGACCCTCCGTCACCCAACCTCTCTGCCCTGGGCTCTCTTCGTGCCCTTGTGCCTCTGGTCTTGGAAGAGTTTCTCTCTGTTTTCTTATACATAAACCTTTCTTGGACCTCAGAGCACGAGGTACTTGAGGGCCATCTCCTCTGCATCTTCCAGGGACAGCTAGAGCCCCACATACAGAAGGCATCCACAAGAGATAAAAGCAGTGTTGTTCCAACTATAGGTCACAACCCAGTGGTGGGTTGTGAAATCAATTTAAAGGGTCATGGCCAGCACTTAAAAATATGAAATAGAATACAATAAATACAATAGAAATATCAGAGTGTGTGCACAGAGCAAGGATAAGTATTGTCCCATGAAACTTTTGTTATCTCACAATATAAAATGTGTTTCTGGCTGTGGGTCACTGAACCCCCAGACAAAAGAACACTGGTTAAGACATAGAGTCAAGAGTCCTACAGCAAACATATAAAGGCTGCCTGCTCTGTGTCAGGCACTGTGCTGGGCACAGAGACCCAATATGAATAACACAGTCCCTAGTCTCAATCCATCCTCTGGTTGGCAGGTCAATAAGCAAACTAACAGTTGCAAGACATGATGTTAAGCACTCTGAGAGAGTATGCAGGAGACTATAAAGTCCTCATGTGACAGTGGGTATCTGGGAGGACTTTCCAGAGGAGGTGATGCAGTCAGAATTCTGAGCAAGAAAAGACAGTGACTAGCTTCTAGTATCTCCTCCATCCTATAGATAGGAAAGGAACTATGGGAAAGTGTCAAGAGTTCCAGTCTTGAAGTCTAAAGACAACTTCTAGTCCTACCTCCTCTGCTTAACAAGCTGTGAGACTTTAGGTGAGTCAGTTAGCCTTTCTAGACCCTGTTTCGTCATCAACAAAACGGGCACATCTGCTATGTCAGCTTCAAAGAAGTAAGAGATCAAATGAGACAGATAATCTATGTGAAAGTACTTTGTAAACCATAACAGAGGAGGGATGTCTCCATAGATGAGGAAATGGAAGCGTGGAGAGGTGACGTGTCCTGCCCAGTGCCACAGAGCTGCCAGCAGCAGCTCCCCTTCCATCCTCAGTCCTCAGCTCTGCCTGCACCCCTCCTCCTCCCACTGCAACTGAACTACCTTGCAAGAGAGCAGGGGCAGGGCCCCAAAAAGCCCCTTGGAAACCTACTGAAGATTTACCTTAAGAATCCTATTGTTTTAATGATCCTCTGATAATAACAGGAGGTAAATATGTGAGAACTCCTCCCTTTGCCCTTCTGTTAATGAATTAGGATCTACACCAACTCAGTGTTTCAAGTTATGTAAGCATCATTCAGATCTTCTGTAACACTTACTTTCATTTTGGAAAAACAGCATTTCCATTAAAATGGTGTTATATAAAAAGGTTTTGTGTCTGTATGTGTAGGAACAGAAGGAGCAGGCAAGCATGAGCACTGTTAAGGCACACAGGCACGCACATCACCTCACCTGTCCTCATGGGGAGGGACCATGGGGAGCAGGTGTTGGATACTACCTGGCCAGTTCAGATGTGACCTACCTATCCCCTGACCCCCCGTGAGACCTGGTGCATGTTGGTCATTGGGAACTGCAGCAAGAATGCCATTAGCTGCCTCCACCCACTAGGGACCAGAGAAGTCTTCACCTTTCTGGAAGCCCCTTCCTGGGCCGGGTGAGTTCCATTGAATCATAGACGGTGAGGGTTGGAAGTAGCTCAGAAGTCACCCAGTGCAATTGCACTCTGCATCACTCTTGCCGGCCTTGAACAGCTCCCTTCCTCCCAAGGCAGCCACTCACTTGTGGACAGATGTAGCTGGAAAAGACCTGAAATTGAGCTGAAATTTGCCTTTCTGGAGCTCCCACTTCTTGGGAACAAACGTACATCCTTCACCTACAGCCTTGAGCAGGAGGCTCATGAGAGTCCAGGAGCCAGGGGAGGGTGCCTGGGGCCCAAGAGCAAGGAGGGAGCAGCAACAGTCCACAGAGCTGAAGCTCTTCCCTTAGAGACCTCTATCCATCTAAACTGAGCTGGGACTATGGGGGTAACGAAGTGGGCAGGGTTAGGGTGGAAGGAAGGGAAGAAGGGGGAAGCCCTGAATGGGAATAAGTGATTGGCTTTGAGCAAAGTCCTGCGCTTCATGTCTCATTTGAAGGATGGGGGTCAGATCGTCCGAAGGTCAGTTCCAGCTTCGATTCTCTGGAGTTCTGAGACCACCTACATACACATCCCTGTCGAGATTCGATGGTTGTACTGTTCTATATGAAACACTGGGTCTACGATTGGAAGCCCAAGCAGGAAGAAAACTGCCCTGCACCCTCCCATCCTGGCCCGACCTGGGTTAGGCTTCGCGGCTTGCCCTGGTTACCCGAAGGGCGGAACCAGTCCACCTTACCCGAGTAGAGTCTCAGAGACAGGAACCCCAGCACCGAGTAGGGAAACGTGAGCTTTGGAGTGTCCTTTTAAGTAGTTGGGAAGGGGGTGTGGCCGAGGAGACTGGGAGGCCGCAGCCGGGCTAGGGGGAGTGGCCCGGGGGCGTGGCCGCAGCGACTGGAATGTTGTTGGGTCCTCGCACCGCATAGTAAGAAGGGGCCACGCCCCCTTTTTCCGAGCGGGCCAATCGGAGCGCCGGAGCGGTTTCAAGTCTCCCCCGCCAGCCTGCCCGCCCGCCACCCCACCCCCCTCGGGGATTCGCTTTCTCTGTAACAAAATAGCAAAGCTCCGGATGTTCCGCAGCCCCGGGCGCTCACAGGTGGAGGGTCCCGGGGCCTAGGACGGTGCGCCGGAGCGGGAGGCGCCGGCAGGCCGTGGAGAGGCCGGGTCTAGAGCCGCGAGGCGCGCGGGGGTGGGCGCTGCAGCCGCGGGTTGTTTATCTGGAGTACGGAGGGGAGGGGGGAGCCTGGAAACCGCCCCGTGTCCCATTTCCTCCTCTTGTTTTCGCTCCGGATTCTCCATGTTGGACCCAAACTGAGGAGCCCGGAGCTGCCGCCGGGGGATCGGGGCCGGGGGCACCCGGGGGAGCCGCTGCCCGGGCCGCCCGCGCTCCGTACAGGGCGCCTCCCTTACCGGCCCAGGGAGGGAACGAGAGCAGGGATGTGAACGGCTGTGGGAGTCGGAGTCTCGGGAGCCGGAGCGGGCCCCCGCCCAGGCCCCCTAGCCCAGCCCAGCCCAGCCTGCGCGCCCGCCGGTCCTCCCGCCCAGCCAGCCCGGGCCCGCGGGATTGTTAGATGGAACACGGCTCCATCATCACCCAGGCGCGGAGGGAAGACGCCCTGGTGCTCACCAAGCAAGGTAGGGGCGGCAACTTCCCAAAACTTTGCGTCGCCCCCGAGCGGGGAGGGGGCTAGCAGAGCCCTGAACCCGAGTCCCGGCTCCTTGACCTCCCGGGGCTCAGAGCGGACGATGCCGACCGGACCCCCTAGTCCCTCCGCCCCCGCGTCCCGTTCCGCGCTCAGACCCCCGTGGGGGCTGCGCGGGGCCCTTGCTCCGGGCGCGCGAGGGGGAGGGGCGTCATCGCGCAGCTGTCAGCCCATCCTGCACCCCTTCCCCCCGGACAGAGAGACGGAGGGGTGGCGCTCGAAGCGCGAGTCCACCCGCGTCCGTCCCTTCCCGAGTTGGGGGGTGGGGTCGTCACTTTCCCGCACCGCGGCGCGCGGCTGCCCCAGGACCGCGGGGAGGGGGACAGAGGGGTCTCGAGCTGGAATGGAGCCGGGACTGGTGTCCAGCACTTCCCAGGGCCCCCCGGGCCCGCGGTCGCTCAGGCGGCGGGCAGTGACGGCGTCCAGCGGGACTTGGGACCAAGTTCACCGCCCGGAGGC